CCTCTTTACTTATAAAAGTATGAAAAATATAAGAATATTCATTCTTGTATTCTTCTCACATTGATAACCTCGACTGACCAAGAATCCTCTTGATTCATACCAGCTGACTATTTTCTGGTTAGCATTTTTTAACGAGTTAGTTTTACTGCAGGATAGGGTAGCTAACCGTATGTCCAACCCTCCTCCTCTACCCGGGCTTGGGACCGGCAGTAACTCTAGGAGAGCTACAGGCGGAGTTAGCTGACTATTAGGAAAGACTATTTCAGTGAGAAACGATTCTTTTAATCAGGTTACTGGTTGTTTAGAGCACATACGTTGTTACCACTATTATAACTAATTTCGTTGGTAGCACAATAATCTAAATGCTTTAGCTTCACAGTCAACTATTTTACATGACCATGCATTTTATGCTATTGTACAGAAGACAATAGGTAAAGGGAAAGCGTATTTGCTGTGAGAAATTAAAAAGCGTTTGCATAATACATAGCCTTCAATCGTCCATTTGCATCCTCCAGTGTGTTCTGATATCTGAACTGTCTACTCACTTTGTCTTCAAGTTTTCTTCCAACGTCCCACTTTCGATAAACTAAAACTCTTCACCCTGTTCGACAACTGCTGCCACTTCGAATACACATTCCTCTACACACTATTTTCAAACATCCTTGTGTGTAGCGTCCACTGCACTAGTACGATAATCATTTCCGTTCACTTATCAACTTCCTTTCCAAGATGCGATACAAAACGAAGAACAAATAAATTGTTCATCTTTAGAATGATCTTCCTCACGAGCTAACATAGATTTTGAAGTTATTGAGTAACACGTAACGATCCTAGTAGTACTTTAGTGAACAGAACACTAATTGTGGACAATCGGATGTATTTAGACACAACTTACAGACTATCTCACTAAATTCGGATAACCATACAGTCCTTTCATGATCTACTCAATGGAGAGGGAACTACCATGGACAGCAACTGGAAAGGTATCAAGGAGGCAATCGTTTCAACGTGTCAAGAGGTTCTGGGCCAAAAGAAGTACCATCACAAGGAATGGATCACTGTTGGTACACTGGATAAAATTGAAGAAAGGAGGAACAATAAGGTAGCAATCAATATCAGCCGAACCAGAGCGGAAAAAGCCAAGGCACAAGCCGAATACACAGAGGCAAACAAGCAAGTGAAGAGGAGCATCGGAACCGACAAACGTAAATATGTGGAAGATTTAGCGATGACAGCGGAAAAGGCTGCCAGAGAGGGAAACATGAGACAATTGTATGATACAACAAAGAAACTTGCTGGAAATTACCGTAAGCCAGAAAGACCAGTGAAAAACAAGGAAGGCAAAGTAATCACCGACATTGAAGAACAACGAAACAGGTGGGTAGAACACTTCAAGGAACTCTTGAATCGACCAGCTCCACTGAACCCATCCAACATCGAAGCAGCACCCACAGACCTCCCAATCGATGTTGGCCCACCAACAATTGAAGAGATCAGCATGGCCATTAGACAAATCAAGAGCGGCAAAGCAGCGGGACCAGACAACATCCCGACAGAGGCACTGAAAGCAGATGTAGCAGCAACTGCCAAGATACTACACATCCTCTTCAGTAAGATTTGGGATGAAGAACAAGTACCAACAGACTGGAAAAAAGGACTTCTGATCAAGATACCAAAGAAAGGCGATCTGAGCAAGTGCGACACCTACAGGGGCATCACTCTTCTCTCAACACCAGGAGAAGTCTTCAACAAAGTATTGTTAAACAGGATGAAGGATTCCGTGGACGCCCAACTTCGAGATCAACAAATTGGATTTCGTAAGAATCGATCTTGTGCAGACCAAATCGCAACTCTATGGATCACTGTGGAACAATCAATTAAATGGAATTCATCACTCTACATCAACTTCATTGACTACGAAAAGGCATTTGATAGCGTGGACATGACGACACTATGGAAGCTTATTCGACACTACGGCGTGCCTGAGAAGATAGTCAATATCATACGGAACTCCTATGATGGACTAAACTGCCAAATCGTCCACGGAGGACAACTCACCGACGCGTTTGAAGTAAAGGCCAGTGTCAGGCAAGGTTGTTTACTCTCACCGTTTCTATTTCTCCTGGTGATCGACTGGATCATGAAGACGTCAACGACTGGAGGAAAGCACGGGATACAGTGGACAGGTAGGATGCAACTTGACGATCTAGACTTCGCGGATGATCTGGCTCTTCTATCACAAACGCAACAACAAATGCAGGAGAAAACAACCAGTGTAGCAGCAGTAGGTCTCAATATAAACAAAGGGAAAAGCAAGACTCTCCGATACAATACAATATGCACCAATCAAATGACACTTGACGGAGAAGCTTTGGAGGATGTGGAAACCTTTACATATCTGGGCAGCATCATTGATGAACACGATGGATCAGATGCAGATGTGATGGCGAGGATCGGCAAAGCAAGAGCAGCATACTTACAACTGAAGAACATCTGGAACTCAAAACAATTGTCAACCAACACCGAGATCAGACTTTTCAATACAAATGTGAAGACAGTTCTACTGTATGGGTCGGAGACGTGGAGAACTACGAAAGCCATCATCCAGCAAAATACAGGTGTTTATTGACAATTTTTCTACGCAAGACACTTCGGATCCGTTGGTCATACACTATCAGCAACAAGTTACTGTGGGATAGAACAAAGCAGTTTCCATCCAGTGGAGGAAGGAATGAGAAGGAAGCGCTGGAAGTGGATAGGACACACATTGAGGAAATCACCCAACTGCGTCACAAGACTGGCCCTCACATGAAATCCTGAAGGCCAAAGGAGAAGAGGGAGACACAGAACACATTACTCCGAGAAATGGAGACAGACATGAAAAGAATGAACAAGAACTGGATAGAACTAGAAAAGAAGGCCCAGGACAGAGTGGGTTGGAGAATACTGGTCGGCGGCCTATGCTCCATTGGGAGTAACAGGCGAAAGTAAGTAAGTAAGTAATACAGCAAACAGTCAATTTGCAAAATAACAATCAAATGTCTCAATCTTCACTGTTCCGTTTGTAAATATCAATTTATCTTCTCTAATTTCATTGTTTGTGCATTTTCCTACCAATTGCACTTCATTTCAGTCCTTTCCTTATCGGTCTTCTGCCAAAATACATTCTATGTCTAACTATCACCATATACTACTTATTTAGATATAAGTAGACCACACCACAGTACTAGTTCCATAAGGAAATGTGAACAAGGAATAACCAAAATGATGTAATAGAAAGATTATAATACTAGATTACGTAATACTAAAAATAACAATAAGCTTAATAAGTTAGTAATGAATTATAAAGTGAATGTAATGAGACGATTAAAATGTTTTTATTTCAATAATTGGAGGTAATTAAAGGTAATATAGTATGAAATAAATGAAGTGATATCATGAGCAATTAGGAACAAAATAATGAGAATATGAGACATAAGTAAAGAGAGAAATGCAGTGATAATAATGGTTAAGGACAAGGAAACGATAACGATGGGACGTACTTCTTTTGTACGCAGAGTTCTAGCTTGAGCTCAAGGATAGTAAAAGCTTCGGCTATTTTTAGGAGTTGAATACGAAGAAATCTAGGTAGATTTGGACGAACCGTATAAACGATCTTAAAATCAAACTATGGATCAGCAGAATGATTACAGTCGATTTGATGTTCAAGGATAAAACTTCTAACTGCTTTCCTCTCACCCTTGCAGAACCATACTGGGACGTGTTCCCGCGTCCGAATTGAAAGCAAACGGTGTCTACCTTGCTCCACAAGAGCAGGTGAACTAGTAGATACACAGGGAGACGACCAGAAGGTGAAGTTTATCCTCTATGGATACAGAAAACAATTTTTAACTACTGAACGTTTTTCTCATTTTTTCCTCATAAAATGTTCTTTTTATTGCTCTCTTTAAACGATTTTTGATAACATCAGATGTTCGACCACCTTTAAATGCCAAACTTATATATTACCATAGTTCACGATTACGCGATTGCACTCATCTACTTACTCATCATTCAATGTTACTTCGTGATGATAAAGCTAAAACAAATTCGCTTAGCTTAATAAGTATGGCCATTTCATTTGAACACTCATCCTATAGTACACACATACTAGTCAAATTAATATCTAATTCTTATTTCCATTGATAAGTATTCAATGCAAACTCAATTTTCGCATATTCATGCTTTATCTATGTTTGACATTATGAAGGACGAAGATTTTACTCTAGTTTATTTAAAATAGATTAATACAAAAACTCGTATCCACTAATGCGAACATTTCACAGAGCTTAAGTAATTGACGTAAATGTGAAGATCGAATTTCAAAATAAAAGACACAACAACTACAGTGGTTGAGATAAAGTATTCTCAACATCTATTCATCAAAATAAAATAATAGTCTTGATCGAGAACACACACACAAAAGTCATTCAACAGAATCCTTGCAATAGAAAACCTACAGAAATAATTCAATCCAAGATACAAGAATAACAGGAAAAACGTTGAATGGTTGATCAATTTCGTGGATTGGTTGAAGTTAGACATTAAACCGTTGGATGTGGGCCAGCTCAATGGTGTAGAGGTTAAGTGCTCTGGCGCGAAACTGGTAGTCCCTAGGATCGAATCTCGCGAGTGTGGGGTCGTGGATGTGCAATTCTGAGGAGTCCTATAATAGGACGAAACGGCCGTCCAATACTTCCAGGTATTCCATGGTTATCTAGCTTCAATTGACTCATGAACTTAACTATATAAAATGACTACAATCTCCACAAAATCCCCTTTCTGATTCTGTTTTTGTATTTGTTGTCTTAATGAGAATATTACTAACATATGAATATATTTACCATAGTATAGTTTAGTAATTAAAACTATTTTACAAACTAAGATTTATTTCTAATGTACTAACCAATATGTTGTATACAAGAACAGTACAACAGTCAGTCAGTTTTATTATCGACGAATGATTTATCAATGTATTTCACTCACAACAACATGATTATGTTTGTTTAATCCAAGTAATCGAATGTTATGAACTTCATGAAGCTCATTTTATACACTCAAAGTTGTATTGAAAATTTCATTTGCCTCCATACTATTTGGAAATAGGTTTCTCAAAAATATGATAACACCAAATATAATTCTATCAATTACATTTTCACCAGCATCATCTGATTTTAAATTTTCATCGTAATCTGTTATATTAATTTCCACTTCATCCACTTTATCAGTTTGATTGTTTAAAGATACTGGTGTCGATATCATCTCCTGTTGACATATCACATATTGTACCAAGTATAACAATACAATCATTCTGATCATTATTATGAATATAGATTAATGAAAGTGTATAATTCTATCAAAGAGATATCAATGCTTATTTATATTAGTTTGTTAATCATGTTCATGATTTGATATAGAGTTCATGTGATTAAAATCGAGTCAACAATTTATCATGCTATTTACCATTCTCTTTTGATATATTTCATTTAGTAAATAAGTGATCAGTAAAAATAAGATTTTCATAGTTGAAATCATGAGTCAATTGAAACTAGACCACCATGGAAAACGTGCAAGCACTGGATGGCCGTTTCATCTTATTGTGGGAATATTCCTTAGCAGTGCGCATCCATGATCCCCCCTTGTGAGATTCAAACCCAGGACCTATTAGTTTCGCGCGCGAGCGCTTAATCTCTAGACCATTGAGCTGACCGACATCCAACGGTGTTAATGTCGAACTTCAAACAATTCACGAACTTGAGCAACCGTCCACCATTGTCTTCAGTGATTTGATATCTCTGAAACACACTTGGTTGAACTCCACTGGTCACTGCTTCCCACTAGAACTTAATGACACATCCCTTGAAGCCAGTCACTAGTGAGCATATGATCATGGATCAGAAGGAGTTTTGTGGAGATTTCAGTATTTTCATGGTTGGAATCATGAATGTAATATGACAGTATTCAGGTCAACAGTTTCAGCTTGTCCATCATGTTTAATCCAAGACTGTTTTAATGTTCTAAATGATTAATGATTTAATACTAATCATCTTAATCACATAAAATCTATGGTGAATCAATAATGTCACTAACATATTAGTGTATATAAACCTCGATATTTCTGGAATAGAGCTATACTGTTTTGTATTAAAGTATTCATCATGATCATCAAGACGACAATATTATTGTTATTAGTACAGTATTCAATGTGTGGAGGACATGAAAGTACAACAAATTTATCTTCACAGAACGCAACAAATAAAGTAAATATTACAACTGACAATGTATATCAAACAATACGCCAAGCAAATGAATCAACAGACGTGGTATCTCAACCAAAAACAGATAGGGTTTACCAACCAACATACGAAGTAAATGAAACAATGGGCGAGATATATGAAACAACAACAGACGTAATATATGAAACAACAGACGAAGTAAATGAAATGACAAGTAATATGAATGAAACAACAGAAATCATAAATGGTGAACAGAATACAACACTGACTGAGATAAATGAGACAACTTCTTCCCAACCTGCTTTGCAAACTACTTTAGCATCACTAAACAGTGTATTTCCATCTTCAACAGTGTCTAATCTAACTACTCGTTCTTCGTAATATTCTGTCTTCAATATCATGGACGAACTTTGAATGATTTAAATGAACTAAACGCTTATAAATAATAATTCATACTTTCTACAATTACTAGAATTTCTTTTATGTTTGAAATTATGTAAGTGAATTTATAAGTAGTATAATACTTTGTTTATAAAATATTTTTTTCATTAATAATTAATGGGTTATTCTGAAAGTTAATATTATGAATTAATTTTATACTCTTATTATTAAACTAATACTTCGTAGATCAGAAGGGGTTTTGTGGAGATTTCAATATTTTTCATAGTTGAAATCGTAAGTGCTCCGTCGCGAGACTGGTAGGTCCTGGGTTCAAATCTTGAGAGAGCGGGATAGTGGATGCGCACTGGTGAAGAGTCCCATAATAGTACGAAACAGCCGTCCAGTACTTCCAAGTTTTACATGGTGATTTAACTTCAATTGACTCATGATTTCAACTATATATAATTACTAAAATCGCCACAAAATCCCCTTCTAATAACAATTAGAATAACGAAGTTTTAAAATGAATATTTTTATTTTTTTTTGTTTTTATTCACCAAAAATTTTTTTTAACAATCAGATCACATTGGTTCTTATTCATTTTTTGTTTTTTTCTCTCGTTTCAAACAGGTTTCACTCCATAAACATATTGAACCAGATATTCAATTCTTTGTTTTACACAATGTTTTCTGAATTTAAATTGGATCTGTTTTGTTGTTTGTTGTTGTGTTTATTCCCCTCTTAGATGTTTGACACATTTGCTTCTTGTATTACCTTGACCACTAATATTTACTGACCAATTTTTGTTCATATAGTGATTAATGTTTATCTGTTATGTAATATTTCCAAGTATTTACATAAATATACAATGTACAGTTCATTTATGATTGTAATTACATGTATTTAACATTGGTAACAGTGGTTTCTGATTTTTTTTTTAATGTATCCAATGAACATTTATTTTATTGTAATAGTATCCATTTTCAATATTCTTCGTCACTATCTTCGATTATTGTTAACCCGTTGTTGTTTTAAAGTGATTATTAGCTGTTAAATAGATCATTGTATGTTATAAATGACTTTTGCATATTTATTTCAGGAGGGATTCTTCTTTAATCATATACTGACTATAAGGGTTTGTAGAAGTTACTAAATTTCATCATTTAAATGGGGGGGGGTTAACTTATTTAAACAACCAATGAAGATCAGAAAACAGAAAACAAGCGCTTCGTATTATTAAGGGCACCCATGACCATTCTAGGAATCGAACCAAGGACTTTCGATTCGGTGGATAACTCCTAACCTATAGACCGCTGAACCGAAATCTAGCGTTTTACATATCTAGTGATTAAGAGTTTGTGATGAGACCAGGAAATATTAGGTTCGATCTTCAGTGGGGGTTGCAGACACACACTTCTGAGGCATCCCATACCATAGTGAGATAGCTTCCTTCTGCTCGTCTAACTAAAGACAATCTATGGTACACATTATGAGCTAAAATACTATTCGCATATACTTTGGCAAGCTCTATAGTAATAATACGGGTAACTAATAGATTAGTGAATAAACCACTATTTCTTTAAATTAGTGAACAAATTTAAGTTATTCTTGAACGGTTGGTTTGTATTTATTTACCATTTAGCAGTGTGATATGGTTAATATTTCCCCCAATGTCTTTCGCATGATTCTCATGTAAACCATCGAGATCACTGAACTAAGAATTATGAGAAACATTCACTGTAGTGTGAAATTTCCTCCAGATTAACATATATCTTTTACAGATTGATGTATCTTCTTTGTTATTAAATTACAAATAGCATCTTTCGTTGGTATGTAGTAGTAGTAGTATGTATGCATGTATGTTGTATGTATGTATGTATGTATCCACAACCCTTTACGTGGAACAAAACCCTGAGGATTCAGTCACAAGCGCTAACTCCTAACCTATAGACCAACAGAGACAACAGAAGATAGTTGGACACTATTATGAACCGATTAAAGTTAGACTTTTATACCTTTGGATCCAGTCTCAGTGGTCTGGAACTTAATCATCCACGCGCGTGACCGAGGACCCTGAGTTCTATGACTACTTGCGGGATTGCGGTTGCACTCACCTGAAAAACCCCATACTAGGTCGAATAACGTGTCTAGTGCTTCTAGCTTTTCAATAATTGTTTAACTGTGATCGTTTCATGATTTCTATGAACTACAACTTCATAACTCCATACGGACTTTTTTAATTGTTTAAATCTAATATACGAGATTGCATGATAAATACAAGAGAAATCACGAAAAACTGCTTAAAATTCACGGTTAAATATTACATTCATTGGACAATAGGTATCAGTGTAAAATATTAGGAATTATGACTTATCCCTCGTTACTTACTTCCTTACTTACGCCTGATACCCCTCGTCGAGGAGTATCCCTCGTTACTTTATTCAATCGGTTTTACAGCAAAAGAATACACATCATTTTTGACAATGTTCAATTCTATATATTTTGTGTCTCATGCCTCATTATGGCCCTTTGCCTTGTTTCATACATTCAATTAGTTATTTAAAATGTGTCAAACTTTTACTTCTTAATCACGTTATTATTTGCAGTTTGAGTATTTATACAGATCATTAGAAGCTCAAAAATAAAATGCTAATCTAGTTGCACATGAACTGTTCAACTATATTAAGGAAACCAAATGTGTATAAGATGGTGGTTGGAGGTCGTTGACAGGAAAACCCTGAAACTAGGTTTCGTGCCATTTGGCTTTCGTCAGCAAGGTGTACCTGTAATCTTGAGGGAACTGATGCTACCTGACGTATTCGACCCACTTGTCACCCAGCTTTACAGTCAGAGACGTTACCACTGGGCTATCCGGGCCGCAACTAACCTCTGTAGGGTTGAAATGTATTTACAAGTGACTGATCACTGGGTGGTGATCAGTGTCATGTGTATTAGGTCCTTCTTAGTGCAGATCGAATCATATCGACCAAGTTGCAATGTGGTCACTAGTCTAAGTGACTAGACATCTCCAAGTAGCACGAAACCTAAGTCCAAAGTTTCCTGTTGACTACCTCCAACCACCATCTAATCTCAACATAGTGCACGGAATGTCGAGTCACCTAGACTATTGACCGTGTCGCTACTGGGTCGATAGGATTCGATTTGCACTTAGAAGGACCTGACACACATGAAATTGGTATTTGGATGACGCATCAATTCGTTGGAAAAAATCGTACGAAAAAACTGGAGTTTATTGGGCGGTTCACCGAAGTATGCTTTCACATTAAGAATGTAAACAAGAAAAGTGATTGGATAAGACACATTTTCTAAGGTCTTTTTACCTCTATTATACAAAAGAAACTTCATAGAATAGTTAGCCATAAGGTTACATCCGTATGTTCTGCTGATATTGATGATGAGGAGCCGAACGGCTTGTGTAATGGTCTCATGAAAAATGGATGCATACGAAAGTTTATAGACAAATATCTAGACACAAAAGTCTGAATATGAGATATCTAACCCGTAAGAAACACTTGTTCATGCTCCTACAATCCAGTGGCGATGAAAGCAGTGAAATTTTAATGCGAAGATCATTCAGAGAACATTCAGTATAGAAGAGCTATGATTAATGTTTACTATACATTCGTCATTGACAATGAGACTTTGGGTTTATGAACGTAGAAGCTGAGAATTTATTGA